CCCCCCCCCCCCCAATATGAGCAATTATAGAGTAGAATCTTCTTAACTGGTCTTTCATTAAGCCCCACATTTCATTAAGCTCTCTGAAAAATTGTGGCTTTCTGATCTATTATGCATTATAACGAGGGCTTGCTGCTATTCAGTCTTCTCTAGAAGACCCACTGCAGCACTGTGGCATTGTACCAGGAAGGTTTACATGTGTTTTTGACTAAGGCAAGAGGATGTGTTTCATGGTGTATTACTTTGTCATGTGCTCTGATTTGCGAAACTGAAGGGAAAGGGTCTTAGACTTATCAATGTAATTTAGCAATGTTATGCTGTTCTTGCAAGTAACAGTTTAATAAATTTATGTAAAATTATGTGATAAAAGGCAAAGGGTTAAAAATGCAAGTGGGAAAGCTTTTTGCTAATGTTAGTCAATGAGTTTTTATCATTTAAATTTCTTCTCCTAATACTATGGATTGTGGACTAATTTAACATAAATATGTAATGAGGATTCTTAAACCCTAAGGGATGGTATACTGTGTCACAGATATCTTGGCAATAGAGAAAAGGTAGGCATTGGAAGCAAGATACAGTGTAAAATGAGACAAGATGCAAAGTAAAATAAAGACATTTGAGCCAGCCATCACACAGTATCAGGTACTGATGATAATTTCCACTAAGCTTATAGCCACAGAAAAACTTCATAACTGGAGTCCCTTTCATTTGCACATGAGTTGTATAATGCCCCTTAAGCAAGAGATGTTAGTTTGACTCAATTTAATCTCTCTGCGTACTGAACACAGGATTTTGGGGGGAGGTTTTATGTTTGTTTGTTTTGTTTTTGTTTTAGAATTTTCCCATATCAAAAAAGTGAAGTAATTATATGGTAAATGCATACTGATCTAACACAAGGACATGGGAAATTAGGCACAGCAAAAAATACTAGGTCTGGGATATGGAACGCTAATCCCGCAGGTCATGTTCATTATAGGACAAAAGGTAAGTTACATAAGCAGTACTGTAGATGCTAGTAATTTGTATTCTTTCAACAAGGAGGGAAGGGAGGTGATTTAGTCTGTAGAAAAATAACTGAAACCGCAGTGAGAGAGTTTGAAAGTTTCTGGAGGAAAAGGAGCAGTGCTTTAGAAAGAATAACTATCAGCAAAGCTTAGCTGTCGTTACAGTAGTGAACAACGAAAATGCAGCAGGGGTGCAGCAATTCGAGTAAAGTCCTTTCTAGAACATGTTTCCCCATTGCCTTGGTCCTGAGTGAGAGGAAATTTTATGCTGCTACTGCCTATTAAATGAAATGATACGCTGTATGACTAGCTATTACTCCTTCAGAAAGTCCAAGTCAGTGCTAGCTCTGTGAAAGCCTGATCCAAAGTTCAAGGACTTGCTTTGAAATTCAACATGCAAACAGTGCTACTTATTTCAACTGGGTTTCTCAAAAGGTTTAAATTATGCATGTGCCAGCTTAAGTGCTCAGCTACTGAGTTCATTTCAGCTGTGACCCCTTTTTCAGTTGCAGGTTTGACTTCGAAGTTCCCCCAGCACATCTCAGTAGCTGTTACACCTGAAAAACCCCAAGCTGCACACTGGTGGAATAACCCAGCCTGTAAGCAGTCCTGTGTCTTCCCTCCTTTCTCAGGATAGTTGCCTCTTGGTAAAGATCTACTGTAGGCAGCGTCAGTCTTAACTGTTAGTCAGATGGACTGTAACACCTAGTTTTGAGCAGGTTTGAATGTCTTGCTCTGCCTGATGCATGGAAATAGGAAAAGGACCTAACCGTTATGCCAAGGGGCAACATCTTGCCACTCGCTGAGCTCTGCTCTCCTTGTTAGGTGTTTCTAAGAACTGGCTGTTTCCATACTAGCTGTATCTTGCCTTTTTGTTGTGTCTATCAATATAAATGCATCGCTGTGGGCTTAGGAGACAAATTTGAAAAGACATAAAGAATTATTTGCAATCGTAAAGTTACTGCAGCTGGAGTGTAATTTTCACTATTCCAAGGACCCTTCCATACTTGCGTGCTGCTGCTGGGGCTTTAGCAAGCTCTTGTAAAAGCAAGGATCTTTACTGTAGCTTGCTAGAAAGGCTGAGGAAGCTGCATGATTTATCGTGCAAGAACTCGGCCACTGACACCTTTAACTTAATTTCTGCCTCAGTCTGGCCCAGGTTCCTCGCTGGCAGAGCCTGCATCTCTTTAGAGTGGGAAAGGCTTGTGCAGAGAAGCAGTGGTAAGCCAAACTAATCTCCCACAGAATTTGAGCTACTTGCTCAAACCTCATATTACTTTCACAGGGGCGGGTCGAGGCTGATTCCAGTCCCAAATTCTGAGCTCTGAGTTGCAATACAGTGTGAAGAGGAGCCTTGCTGGGGTTTAAAGGTTGCCTCTTCTGGCAGGAGAAGGCATACGCATGCCCAGTAAGCAAATCATTTGTTTAGGACCTATTCAGTCATAGCACTGCTAGACAGCATGTACGGTACAGACCGTACCCAAAACGTTCTTGGGCTGTAAAGCAGCTAATCCTGCCAGTCTGATACTGCAGTGCAAACAGAAACCTCTGGAGTAGTCTTAGAGAAGCTACTTCATTTACCTGTTCCTTGTTTTCTGTTGCTCTGTTTCTTGTCACCTTTACAAGTATTTTGCAGAATTCAAATGTGGACACAACAGGGGTCTTTACCATATGTGAAACTGGCTTGGGCAGGGGTGTCCCGTTCCCCCCCCACCCCCTCCATGGTGCTTGGGGAAGCGGGAGCTGCGACTGTTGGGCAGTGACAGTGCGCTCAGTGCCCTGGTGGGTAGAGGGTAAAACCCACGGCGTTAGGGCGCTGCCGTGACAGTCCCTCTCGGGAGGCGCCTGGAGCAGCGTGGCGCTGGGAACCTGCCAGCTCACAGCAGGCGGTCCCCTGCCTGCCCTGGCCGAGCGCCTTGGAGTCTCTCCGACGAAGCCATCGCCTTCGAAAATAAGTCTGCGGTGGTATGGGAGTGTGCTTTTCAACAAACTTGCAAAGAATTAGTTATACGTATAAATATTTATTTGTACTAAAAGTGAGTGTTTTGTAGCAGAGTATCAAGTTCAGAATATATTAAATCGTGAGCTGCATCAGTTGAGGTACAAATTCCAGTCTCATGTCTTTAATAAATACCCTATAAAAAAAACTAGTTGATGTACTCTATTTTAATCAGAGGTAATCAGTATACTACACTATTTTTTAAGGATACTACAACATTTATGTTTTGCTGTAACCACTTGGATTTACTGCATTTTCTTGAACCACTTGATTTTAGGATGAGAGGCAACAGCACTATTTCAACTATTTAAAAAATGGCAAACATTACAATTATAAACTGGAGTATTGCTTTTGTCTTTCAGGCCCCTGCCAGAGGGGCTGACTATACAAGGCACTATTGCTAGTATATTTTCAGCTACTAACATTGTCTTTGCACCTTTTTTGAGGTATAATACAGCTTTGGGCTCTTCATTTTGAATACTTAAACAATTACCAGCAAAAAAAGATGACATCATTGAGAAATAAAACACTTTTTGCAAAAATATTTCCAATCGCTTGCATAGTTTTGGACACTGTACCATGGCCACAGCAAAGCAGCTTCACTTGAGACGTAGCTCACTAGACTAAATTGCAAGCAGAAGCAGGATTGTTTTTACTTAATGTAGATCCGTTTGTAATTAAACCTGAAATAGAAGAAGAGGAGAACGCTATTTCCAGTTCTTTTGAAACACGTTCTGACCGGTTCTGGGGCATCTCCTAAAAAAGGGTGAGTATAAAAAATCATCGGATTCTCATTGTTGCAGTAACTAGCAAGTGCATAGCTGTCTCCCCCCCCCGCTGAAATATTACGACTGAGCGGCACAGCCGCGGTGGTAGCGCGCCCCTAAACCACAGCTGGCGAATGCCTGCCCGCAGCACGCGGCCCTGGTGGCGTCGCAGCTTGGGCGCCTCAGGGCTAGCTTGAGCCTGCTGGCAGGAGGAGCTGCGGTGTGGGCGCGCAGGATGGGCCCTGGGAGCGCCCCCGCCGCCTGCAAGCAGGCCCCTGAGGCGCTGGGGTGGGAAAGCAGGTGGAGCGCAGGTAGCCTTGCGGCCAGTCGGGGCTTTTGGTTCAGCTCCCCAAACCTTCAACGCCCTCCCCACCCCCGGACGTGCACTGGCAACTACTAGGCTTCAGTGTACCAGTGTGACATGCTCACGGTAAGACTACAGCCATGACCGTGTGAAGCGGCACTTTAGATTTACGCTCTCCAGCCCTGTAAGAGTTCGCTGCAATAACTGTGCATCAGCAGAGACGCACGATGGCAAAGTCCAGGTCAAAACAAAAAAGCTCTGCAGTAACTTTCCATTAGCCAGCGCTGGGAAAAGCACCAGTGCCCAGGCTGCCACCTCTGGGCACCATCACCCTCGCCACAGCGGTGCCTTGGGTGGCAATAAGAGAGCCT